TCTGTTTTGTACACAAATTGCACCTCTCAGAGATCTCTGAGACACAAGTCCCATCAAGTTTATCCCCGTCCTTCAGCAGCTCCCCATCACAGACAGAGTACATTCTGTGCCTTGGCCTATCGTTCCTCGGCAAATCACAGTTTGAACTGTCTCTGCTTTTCCTTCTTTTTTCTGCCACCTTCCCACAAGTCATGTGGAAACGAACAAACAGAAAGCCCTAACCACTGTCAGAACCTTCACGCCATGGCCCTTCTCATCACTGGGCTCTGTGCATGCCCACCTTTTTCTCTGGGATTCTCTTTCCCACTGCCTGTTGGACGTCTTCCCTTCCATCAAGACTAACTCAGATGTCATCATTCAGCGAAGCTGCCTGTGCTGGCGCCCCTACAGGGCCAGTACCTGGCCACAGGTACTCTACCCCGTCTTCCAACAAGTGCTTTTCATAACCCAGTTGTATCACTTCAACCACAGCACTGTAATTCTTTCTTGACTTTATATACTTCACTGTACAGGAATTTCTTTTATGGACAGGAGCTATGTTAATGATCCTATTCCCAGGGCATAAAATAAAGCCTGATACATACCAGATTCTTAATTATTTGTTGAATAAATAGAAAGGGCTGCGGCATCCAAAACACTACAGTTAGAAGCATGTGAACAAGAGTCCTAAAATATCTCTGATAAAGAGAACGTTAATGAGTATCTCAGGGAATGTAAATGGGTTTCTAAACATTGAAACTGTGAAACACTGAACTCAATAATGACCTTTGTTCTTTTTCGTGTTTAATGCTGTTATGTTGGATCTTTCTTGTGCATTACACAAGATGGGCTCCTGGAGGACAGGGACCAAAATATCTCGTTCAGCCTAGTGGCACAGCTGCTCCAGTGTCATTTTCTTATAAAGAGACTGGCCAGGAAAAGGCAGCAGCTGCAGTTCACTTTCCATGCTCACATCTTCCTTCCCTGGATGGTAGCTGTTTCTACACATACCCTCTCAACCAGGTTACAAGCTCTTTGACATGAGGGAAGTAGCCCTAACAAACTTGTTCCCAGAACACTGCCTCTTACACAGTAGTTACTCAATAAATACCTGATGGGTGACTTAGAAAACATTAGTTCAGGAAACACTGAGAGATTGAAAAGTAACTTGTTACAGTGATTTTGCTCATTCTCAACAAAAAGGCTTCACTCTGCAAAACTAACTCAGTATCAAACTCGCTGTGGCAACCATGCATTGGTGAATACAGCTGAATAGAAAAACGAGGGGCCGACAACTTTGGTACCTGGGTGTGGAGCACACACCTGCTTCAGAAAGCCGCCCACCCCGTGCATGTGAGGCTGCTGCACCTTTTCCACCCATCAGGCCAGCACCCTGAGTGGCTCTACTTGGTGCTGCGAGGCAGGCACTATTTTATCATTCAAAACACCTCCCAATAAACAGCTGCCCCCTGAGAGATTGTGAATGGGGCGCAGTAAGGGAGTTAGGAATTGAGTCCTTCGAACAAAGTGCTGTGAGGACTGAACTCCAAGACCCCGGTTTCATTAGCTCCCTGAACCCTTGACAGGCCAGGCCACCTTGGTCAGACGCTGTTTTCGCCTGTCAAGTTTTAGACAGCCACAGGACATAAACAGAGAAATTACAAGGACAAATGAATTTGAAAAGAAGGCTAAAATCAAGAAGAAATTCGGAAATACCCAGAAACACGGAAAAAGGCTAGCATTATGGGTCCATAAAAGGGAGACCACCTACACGGGGCAAATCTCACATTTAATTTCTATCTGGAGGAATTTCTAAAGAGGGGTTACGGGAGATGGAATTGGAAAACTAGAGGGAAATGAAGAAAGCAGGGACCAAACATGCTTCCAAAAGAGCCAATGTAGTTCATATCTGTGCGTCTGCTCAGGGTGGGCATGGTAGATAGAATGATCTCTCTCGAGCCAGAGGTGGTTCCCAGTGTGGTCTCTTGTTTCTCCAAAGCCACTAGTTCCATTGCACTATTACTGTCCTTTTACTTTTGGGGGGTGAAGTACGGGGAAGGAGAGAGGTTGATACTCAAGGAAAAGGGGTAACAGAGGCCTAAGATTTATTTATTTATTTTTAAAGATTTTATTTATTTATCTTTAGAGGGGAAGGGAAGGAGAGAGGGAGAGAAACATCAATGTATGGTTGGGAGGCCTAAGATTTAAACCTATCAAGATGTTTGGCCACAGTGAAAAGGAACTGAAATGGCATTTAGAAGGGATTTTGTTCTAGCTAGAGAAGTGTCTGCCATGTGTTCGGGGGTGAGGAGCCAGAGGAAATAAAGAGATAAGAGCGATAAACTGAATACTCGTGTGAGTCTGGGGTCCCTCCCAGGATGGAGAGTGATAGAAGTTCTACAAGAGAGGGAGAGAACTCACATCTACCAGAGGGAGCTGTCTTGTCCACAGAACCCAGAGGAAGGCCTCCCTCAGTGGTTCCCAACCTTGACTGCATGTTAGAACCTCTGGGAGCTTTTAGAAAACCTAGTAGACTCTGGGCGCTCCCCCAGAGAGTCTGATTTAATTAGTCTGGGCTGGCAACAGCATTTTAAAAAGCTGCCCAAGTAATTAAGTACCGCAAGAGATGAGCACTAACCACTGGGCTAGCTAAATAAAGAGACAGGGGTGTGAAGAAGGGAAATAGATGAACTCAGTTTCCGCTCTTTCCCCTCAGAATTAGGCTTTCCGGAAGCATCACATGTCCACAGGTGGTTCCCGTGATGGGGTTTGATTCGATGACACATGTGTGAGCCTTTTTGCATATGTGCACATATATATTGGGTCGGCCAAAAAGTCTACTGAGGTTTTTCTGTAAAATAAAAGACACGTTTTTCATTTTCACCAATAATTGTATTGATTTGGATATTTTGAGTATGTCAGCTATCTCCCGCTATTGGCTTTTAGTGGGTAGAGGCCAGGGTGCTGCTAAACATCTTCCAATGCATAAGACAGCCCCACAGCAGAGGATTATTTGGCCAAAATGTCAACTGTACCAAGAAATTTCGCAAACCTCTTTTAACACATCCAATCAGTCACAGCACCTTCTCCACTCACTGCACAAATCTTTTTTTGCATTTTAGCTGTATTTTTACCTTTCTATGAAATAATAAAGTATAACATGCTGAAAATGTTGAATATTTCCTTCCATCTTCAATATTAAAATGGCTGTACAAAAATTCACCAATTTTGACAAGTTTTTAAAATATGCATACTGATATGACAACTGTCACAATACAATCTAATAATTGTTTCTAATGCAGTTAAAGACAATTAAGCACTACTAGAGCCATTGTATGCAAAAAACTAAATGAATTTTTTGGCCAGTCCAGTAGTTCTGTGTATGTATATATGTAAAGAAACATATATACATACATAGATACTTGAATAAATGCTAGAAAAATGTAACCAACATATCGAATTTGAAAATTCACATATATTATTACTTAGGATGAGGCTAAGGTAGGCACAGAAGTTTAGAAAATAAATCTATTTAATTGAACAGTCTGTAAATTCTAGTACAAGCAGCATGTGGATGGGGCAAAAAGTTCTGAAAGAAGCAGGTAGACAGCTGGAGTTTGGGGAACACAGAACCGAAGTAGCCCAGCACCTATACAATCTCCCTCCCCAGATCTTCACTGTTCTCAACGTTCGGCAGCAGTGCAGTGGGCCGGGTGCCATCCACCCCCCACGCTTCTCACATGGATGCCTACGCCTCATCTGAAGCATTTCCACGCTTCTGAGCAGGGCTCCGACTCAAAGCAGCCCCTCCTAGCCTCGCAGTCACGATCCGATTACTGATGGAACTCACTTATCTCCTTTTTCAGATTCAAATCTGAGCTAAACCTAACTTAGGGTGCCCTGGCCACCTTAGCATAATAGGGCAGAAAACCAATGCTCACAAGGTGTTCCAGCCCCACAAGCACAAAAGGGAAACCGAAGCGACCCAAATCCAGGTTATGCAAACTCAAAAGGAGGGGGTGAGGGGAGAGAGATGAAAAACCCAAACGGAGCAAACAAAACCAGCCCGCGGAGGCGCTGACATTTTCACTCTATTTGTAGTTCTCAGGGCATGATGCAACTTCGGGTTGCCCAATTTATGTTTGCAAATCTCCCCCTGGCCCACAAGGAGCTTCAAAAAGCTCCCAACTCCGTGAAGTTCCTCTGAAAAAAGTTCCAGTCTCCAGCTTAAGCCGGCATCACTGCTGGCCAGGTGACCTCACCTTCACTCGGGCGCTACAAAGTGTGCCGAGATAGGTAAACCAAAGAAGAAGGCGCAAAGGCAGGCCGAGGAAGGTGACAGCCCCGTTCGTACCTTTCCGTGCCCATTCCCACGCCCACTTGATTAGAAACTGCCAAGGGCACCTCACCTACTTCACTTTCTCTCTGCCCTGCCTCGGGAGCCCCGCTCCTCTCCCCAATCCGAGGGGCACTCATAGTGGCAAGCGGGGGGAATGCCCAGGTCTTCAGCCTTTTCTTACTGTTACCTCCAGCCCGCGTTCCACAGCGTGGTGGCCTCCTGGTCACCAGTCATCGGCTATACCTTCGCACCACCCAACAAAATGGCAGGTTAGCAACAGGCGAGGCCGAGAACGCCTGCTCTGGCTCTAGCCAAGCGCGGCCTCTGGCCAAGCCCCCGGAGGTCTCTGACGGCTCCCTCAAACCCAGCACTCTTCTCCCGAAGTCCCCGAACCTCTGTCCCGCCGGACGGCCCTCTCGCTCTCTCGGGGCCATTTCTATTGCCCGCGGGGGCGCAGGTGCCAGCGTTAACAGGTGCCAGGAGAGCGGGCCCGGGCGCAAGTGCCGCCGCCCAGCTCTCTGCCGCGCTGGGCTCCTAAGGGAGCCTGGGAGGCGCGCACGGAAAAGCCAAATTAAAGGGAAGGGAGCTTGGGAAAGCGTAGAGGGAGACGGCACCGGGCCAAGGATGCCGCTGCCTGTCCTCGCTTCCCAGGCGCGACCCTCGCCGAGGTTGCCCCACTTACAATCTCCAGGCAGACGAAGGCGCCCGAATAGGTCCGCAGGATGTCGGGACCGGCTGGCAGGGTGACCCGAGGCGCCGGGAAGGACACGGCGGGGTTCGGGGGCGGCACGACAGGCGCTCCGCCGACCGACATGCTGCCGCTGCCGCTGCTGCGTCTCCGCGCGCCGCCACCTCCGTCCGCCCGCCTCCACCTCCCGGGCTCCAGCCGCGCCGGGGAGCTCGGGTCCCGGCGTTCGGCGCGCCGCGCGGGAGGGGGCGTGACTGACTGCACAACCCGGGGTGCGCGGGTCCCGCCCCATCACGTGGACCCAGGTGAGCGCGCCTCCGCCCCTGCGCCCTCGTGGGTCACGTGCACAGGTGCGGCCTGCACCTGGCGTGATCCTACCTGCTCCGCTTTCGTGTCCCCTCTGTGGACCAGCGCCCTGCCTTCCTGGATCCTCTCAACGCCCAGCCCCACGGCTGTGCTAGTTACTTATTCCTTCTGTGCCTCTTCCTAGTCCCCACCTGTTCTCCTCCACTTGTCTTCCCTCACCCTCACAGCTCCCCTACTCTACTTTCTTCAATTTAACTGCAAACTGATCTTGGTGCTGTGAGTCAGAAGGTAAAATCAAGGTCACCAGTCACACCTAAAAGCTGGAGTGGATCTGCTCTAAGTGGGACTCCAGTGGTAAGGTTCAGATCTCATCAGGACGGTGTCGCGCGTAGCAGTCGGATGGCTCGGCCCCAGCACCTGTTGGCGAGGATGCTGGGCAGGCAACCTGCTGCTCTGCGCGCTGGCGGTGCGCTGTGCTCATCAGAGAAACGGGGATGAGGGTGTTGACCTGGTAAGGACGCCCGGATTACAGTGATGCAACCTGAGAAGAGTGTAGCGCATACTAAGTGCTTCTTAAATGATAACTAGAATGATGACTGCTAGTTTTTTGAATTTTTACACATACACGTCACGTTTTTGTGTACCTATGATGTGGAGGTTATATTTTCCATACAAAACGTTAATCATTAATTTCACTTATGAGGGGTTTTTAGTGTGACCCCATTGGTGATTGTCAGAGGGGCAGGGGTTGGGGACTGGGTGGAAAAAGTGAAGGGTTTAAGAAGTACAAATTGGTAGTTACAAAATAGTCACGGGGATGTAAATACAGTACAGCATAAGGAATATAGTTGATAATATTGCAGTAACTATGGATGGTGCCAGGTGGGCACTGGGAATATTAACAGGAACACTTTGTAAAGTATATGACTGTCTAACCACTATGGCGTACTCCTGAAATCAATGCAAAGGAATACTGAAAGTTAAATAATAAACAAATAAATTTACAAAGTCTATGTGTGCTTTGAATTCCCTGTCCAAGTTTATCCCCTTTTCCATCTTTGGTTTTAATGTCAACATTTTGTCCGAGAACTAAAGGAGATGAGAACATTCTCAGAGATCAGCTGAAGGTAGATACACGCTCGCACACACCTGTAGACCAAGCTGGAAAAGTATTAGTTGACTTCATCAGACATTCTCCAAGTTGAAACACTGATCCTGTCAGTCAGGTTTAGCCTTTTCGGGACTGTTTACCACTATGCACCAGTCAGCAGATTTTAGTCGTTCTACCTCTTTATTATTTTATAAGTGAAACTCATAGGTGTGGTGGCAGCGTCCGGGTGACAACCACAGACAGGGTGTGGGTGAAACCTTTTGACGCTACACCTTCCCATCTTTTCCACCTCTTAGTCATCTCTTTCTAATATTTAATGTGTGGTTTTTATTTAATAGGAAATGTAAAGTTTTCTGAACTGATTTGTTTCATCAGTAAACCCTCTCTGTATTCAGACCCAACTGGTAGGAAATAATCTTTCCGTCTGTTCTATTTTATTTTACTTTCTACCTAACATTTCTCATGAAACACCCAAAGAACGTTGAAAGGCAGGTGTGGCTCAGTTGGCTGGAGCATTGTTTCATAAACCAAAAGGTCGCAGGTTCAATGCTTAGCCAAGGCACATGCCTCGGTGGCAGGGTTGGTCCCTGGTTGGGGCACATACTGGACACAACTCATTGATGTTTCTCTCACAGATATACCTCTTCCTCTTTCCCTCCCTCCCCCTCCCTCTAAAATCAATAAGCATCCCCTTGGGTGAGGATAAAAAACAAAAAACAAAGAATGTTCAAAAGGGAGGACCTCTACAAAAAATTCTTGTTGCAGATGCTCAGTAGCTACAATGTCCCCGCTCCAAAATTTTAGTGAATAAATTGCAAATAACTTTGGAGTTTTTAGAAGTGCTAATGACCCAGAAGAGCATCAATGGTCAATATTTTAAAAATTGCCACCAAGGAGAAAATTTTTCACTGTGTCCCTTCCAACGTGCTCCCTGGTGTACCATGTGTCCCCGGTCACCCTCAGCCATCCTGCCTTCCCTCCTCTGCCTGCATCTGCAGTGATGGGTAGAGTGAACATAATTGTCATTAAGTCTCCTTCTGTTATTGTAATGTATTATTCACTTGTAAACTAATTCCTCCATGGAATAGTTTTCCTCTTGTGATCACTACTCAAACTTGTTTTCTCTTAATAATATCACTTGACTTCTAATAAAGGCCACAGCTCTGGAATCAAAGGAAGAAATGTACTCCTTCCCACTCTGCTCCCCCACTAGGTCTTCCCCTACACAAAGGACCTTGAGCTTTGAACAGTTTCACCTTTCCACTCTGTCTTCATCCTGTTCCCATGGTTACTGACCTCCAGCATGACTCTTACCTTGCTCACGATGCCGCTCAGACTCCATTTTTTGGAATATCAGTGTTCAAATTCATGACACCTCAGTAATATTGCCTCACAACATCTGGAACCACCCTTTTACTTGGGATTTTGCTATTGCCATTCTCTTCAACGCTGACCTGATGACTACATCCTATTCACCTAACTCTCCTTCACTCTCAGACCTGAGCTCCAGCCTTTTAGTCTTTCCTCGTTTTCTCATTGGCCCCATCCTAGCTTTTCTGGCTTCCCTACTCATGCTATGCCGATGGGAAGGCATTTTATGGATGCTGGTATTAGTCCCAAGTGTTGCCTCCCGTCCTGTACTTGACTATGAACTTACCCACCCTGCCCCATGTATTCTTCAGCTTGGGTTCAACCCACTGTCTGTGTCTGCTGTCTTGAATTCTGCTCTCACATTGTTCAGGGGTGCTGCAAGAGTATCATAATCAGGACTCTTGTTTCTACTATTAAGTCATATTATCTAACCTTGGCGGCACCTTAGGGATTCCCAGGTGTCATTTTCCTCCACCTGCCCTTCCTTAATTTCTTTTCTCTCACATTTCATAGCTTCTTTCACTTTTCCCATTTTTATGCCTGGCACAAGTAGACAGTGTGTCCAGTGAAAGAAAGCAAATCTAAACAATTCCAACCTTCCCTACTTTCTTTTACTTTACAAGACATTTTAGGACATCGAACCAGTAAGACTTGTTCCATTGAAAACAGGAGCATCCACCAAGTTATCCAAAATAAGCACGTGGGCATTTCTCTTGGCAGCTCCTCTTATGGACATATTTACTCAGTTATCATGTCTGGCAGTTCTGTCCTCTTATTGCCAAGGATAGATCCACTCTCTCCATTCCCACTATTCCAGTCCATCTTGAGATACCACCCTTCCCACAATGTGTCCTCCAGCAGTTTGGTTGCCTTCCATTGTATTCTCTAGTCTGCCATCAAAATGATTTCAAAACACAAAATTGATTACCGCCTCTCTTCCACTTACTGTTCTCAGGATCAACTTCAAACACCCTGGAACGCATGCCTAGGCATTCAAGGTATGTCTAGGGCATAGCTCACAGAGTTGTGTTAACCCATCTACGATTCCAATAACTCTCCTGCCTCCAGACCTTTACACATTCTCCTCCCTCCAATGGAACCTCTGTATGGCAGCTTTCTCTGCTCATTGAAGAGCTTGTCAGGTCCCCTCCCACCCAATGTGTTTTCATCGTCCAATGTGCTTACTCTGCACAGAACATCTATTTTACTAAAATGCAATTGCGTTCTCACTTGTTTCCTATCCCTTCCCTAGTGGTGTGCAGCAGGATATTAAATTGAAAAGTTCAGTAGAGGCAGTAAGAGATGATAGATAGCCAATAGCAGTGTGAGCTGTGAATCAGACCCCCAGAAGTTTTAAAGTGGGCTGATTAAGAAGAGATCAGATAATCTATAAGCCCTTCATTTATATAATCAGGAATACAGATAGCTCAGGAACAAGGTTTTGGGGAGAAGGTAATTTTGGGGAGAGCCGTGCTGGAAATCACACTTTCCTCTCTCCCTCCTCCGCTCTCTCTCACACATGGCAGGGAGTTGCCTGAGATTTATTCACATTTCGTAATAGGAGCTCCAGTAATATCAGCTGGCGGAATAAACTCCACGTTTAAATTTCTCTGCGTCATCACACTAATCTGCTCCTTCCTGTTTCCTAAGAGGTGTTTCTTTCCTCGTCCAAAGTTGAGCTCCATCTCAGCTTTTCATTATTTCCCCTTTGTTCTTCCCTTAGGAAATTAACCCATTAATTTTCCCTCCTCTCTCCTCAATTTTTAATTTCTACTTTACACTCAATCTTTCCCCCCTCTGAACATATTCAAGATTCCCTTAGCATCAAAAGAGTGGGAATAAAAAAAGAAATGTTTCATTCTTGTTCCAGGTGTTCATAAAAGGGTCATTAATTTGTTAATAATTGTTCTGTTAGGAGGATGAGATATTCTAGAAGTCTGGGAAACAGGAGCAGAAAACCTTTCTGCTTAAAAGGAAATCCTTGAACTTTCCTTCTAATAGAGGCTAATAGTGTGTTGGGGAACTCCTCTGTGACATTCCCCCCAATCTGTTGGAAGATCTGAGCTACGTGTCAGTGAGAAACTAGGATGAATGTGACCAGGAATGATACCCTGCAGACTTACCTCCAAACAAAGGAGCAAGCTCCATGGTAGCCGGCTACACCCCAGTCCTTGGAAATCAGAGTCCCTGCCTTCAAATGCTTCTTCCCTGTCCATGCCTACGCTGCGCCTCACAACACCTGCGAGTCTCCTTAGTTCAGTAACATTTTGTGGTTTCCCCACCAAGTCAGTTCTTTAGACCTCCTTGCTTTGCTTGTTTTTCTATGATCTTAACTGCTTCTAGCCAGAAATTCAATTTCTGTCTGCCTAGCTTCCACAGAATGACACCTGCGTGGCTCCTTCTGCAGACTCACTTGTTATCACGTCCCTCTGCTCCACAGAACAGCCAGAGCTCCAGTGCCTCCCTC